AGACTTTTGAGTCCCAGCTCCAAGGATGTTTGTCTTATGACGAAAGAAAGCTTATTCCGTTTTCGCCTGAAACGAGGGTGGATGTCTGGTTGGCTGCGCCAACCTGAACGTTGTATTGAAACCGACCAGCTACAGAACAACGGGAATTAATAGTTGTCTTGTTCAGAGATCGACCTACTAATCCTGTTATTATGCACGTTCACGTGAAAGGTATCCACACAAATGTCATCACAAGAGATTCCTCAAAACCCATTTATTCTTCGTATTGAATGCTGTGTACATGTAGGCTGAATAGGGAAAGGGGAGTAGCATAAACGTGCCAAAGAAAGAGGTGGTTATTTTGACCATTTGCTGGTTTCAGGCTTTGGTGTCCCCTCGATTTTACGAGACAAACTATGAGATTTGCAGAGTGATGCGAATGGGCCCCACGATGAGACGAATCTTGTGAAACTATAGAATATGACAGGTCAACAAAAACTATCCTTAAACATGAGCCGTATGCAAGACTACTTTTCTTTCCCTCACCCTTAGCATGTCAAGTATCCCTCCTGCTTCTCAGATGGGCATAGATTCCTCCATGACGAGCCTACCCGTTCAACCAAGACAGACCTTCACAGGAATTATAGAAGAAGTGTTAATTAAGATCAAAAGGGTCAAAATTGGTCTTACCAGGATCAAAAATCCTGGTGCTTTAAGCGGCTTGACGACAATGTGCAGGAGAATAACATTTTCTTGGTTTAGTGTTTTATGATGGTTGTTCTAAAATGATGGTTTATGGCTCTGATGATGTCCAGCACGTGACGGACGAAAGCTCAGCACTGAGTCATCGGGGTTGCAGGACGGTGAGCCGAGGTCTTTTTCGCACAATTCAACATCGACAAGCCCAAGGTCCTCATTTTCAAGGCAACCTCTACGGAGCACAAGCAACTTGTCACTTCGCATTGAACGCCAGGAACCCGAAATTCATGAGAAGATCCCACATAGGTCGGCGATCCGGGCATCATTGAGTTAAAGAAATGTATTCATAAGAGTTGTGTTCATCCTAGGTCGCATTAGGTGAAGAAGGACGGATAAATGTGTTTTCCCCATAATTATATGAATAAGACTTAATGGGCGAAGCATAGTTACTTTCTAGAAATGGGTTGGCCTCGTTGTCACAACTTGGTCTTGTTGTCAGATCGACTATGTAGAACGCACCTAATTTGAAGTCGTCTGCCATAGCAGTTGTCATAATTCCCAGCATTAGACAGTGGACTTGGTACATTCCCAAACGTTTCGCCGGCCTCATAGTCGGCATCATCACCAAGCTGCGACCATACCAGAGACCGCAACATCTTGGTCTTCATATCTTCAATAGTTACTTTCATTTTTTGAGTAGCTTCAAGAAACTACCATTGAATTGTGCGAAGAAGACCTCGGCTGACCCTCCTGAAACCAGTATTTTCGAACAACCATCATGAAACACTAAACCAAGAAAATAGTATTCTTCCGCACACTCTCGTCAAGCTGTTTAACGCATGGTCTCATCGTTAAACGAGACAGCATCGACTTCACAGCACCAGGATGGTTTCTGGCTCTGATGATGCCCATCACGTGACGGACGAAAGCTCAGCACTGAGTCATCGGGAGCATGAGCAACTTGTCACTTCGCCCTGAAGGTATCTGTCGCCTGACGGGCAATTGCATAGAACGCTAAGAACCCGAAATTCAGGAGAAGATCCCACATAGGTCGGCGATCCGGTCATTATTCAGTTAAAGAAATGTATTCATAAGAGTTGTGTTCATCCTAGGTCGCATTAGGTGAAGAAGGATGGATAAATGTGTTTTCCACATATGAGTAAACCTTGATTGTCAAGCATAGTTACTTTCTAGAAATGGGTTGACCTCGTTGTCGCAACTTGGTCCTGTTGTCAGGGCGACTTAGTAGAACGCACCTAGTCTCCTCGTTGTCGCAACTTGGTCTTGTTGCCAGGGCGACTATGTAGAACGCACCTAGTCCGAAGTCGTCTGCCAGCTTTCATAATTCCCAACATCAGACAGTGGACTTGCCGGCATCATAGTCGGCATCATCACCAAGCTGCGACGATACCAAAGGCCACAATATCTTGGTCTTCATATCTTTAATAGTTACTTTCGTTTTTTGAGTAGCTTCAAGAGACTACCATTAAATCAGATAGGGTGGTCGCATCTTATATAATCGAATTGTGCGAAGAAGACCTCTGTTCACGCTCCTGAAACCAGTATTTTCCAACAACCACCATAAAACACTAAACCAAGACAATGTTATTATTCCGCACATTCTCGCCAAGCCACTTAACGCACGGTCTCATCGTTAAACGAGACAGCATCGGCTTCATAGCACCAGGATGTGTGATGATCCTAAGGAGAAAAATTTTCCCATTTGCGAGCTGGATGGCGAAAAAATGCCCATCAAATAAAGCGGGATTAAAATGCCCTCTAAAGCGGCCTAAGCTAGAAATATTGAGCCAGCTCTCGAAGCACAAGCAACCGATCAAAACGGCATTCTCACCAAAGATGTCGAATCGGCGCATATAATTTCCAATTTTCCCATAT